GTAAAATACTTAAAAAGGGGTGTTAGGGTACTAAATACTTTAGATTGCTAAGATAATTTATCTGAAATAAGAATGTTTAAAATTTAAAAGACTGTACACCAGTATGTCTTGAGATTGTACCTGAACTACAATGTGAAGAGCATGCCAAGAATTTCACAGAGCTTGTGTGGCTAAGATCAAGGTGTAGAGAATTACTGCAATTCATCTCAGCTCTCCATGATAGATTTCTTCCAAAATGGCTCAAATTGCTCAGAACTTCTGTTGTCTATATTAAAGATCATTGTTCAAACTTTGCAAGGTGCTGTACTCTTTTTTTACTTGCAGTATTTTCAAGAATACATATGAGATGTCTATTACTCTGTGATGAGTTAAGCACTTAAGTTTCACTGTTCTGTTCACTATAAATATCTAGATAGATAAGATGATGCCATGCATTGTGTGCCAAATTAAAGCTTGATCTACCATGCAATCTCATTGAATTCTTAATGGAAGCCATGAATTCGCATGGCTTAAAAATCACTGATAACATTGGCTGTCTTTGATCATCTATCTTATTGCAATTTACAGTTCAATATTTATGTAACATTATTGTGAATATCACCGAAACCTACAAGAAAAAGCAGAAAATTAAATGACATAACTAGAGAAATGTATTTTCAAAATTTGTTACAAAAAATGATCAGTGAACAGCAAATCAGGAAGAAAATAAAATATAAAATTTTATTAAATTAATTTTCACCAGAAATAATTTGAACATCTAAACATTTGACATTATTTCTTTTAATGGTCATTTAGCCGTAATATTGTGTAAAAAAAAAAAAAAGGAGAGAGAGAGAAAAGCTGCAAGTATCTATGTACATAAATAAAACCAATGTATGCTCACAAAAAGAAAAAATTAAAACCAACCCCAAAACATTACTCTCATAATCATCACTCAAGTTATCAGTGATACTCCCTCTGCATAAGAGCCCTTATGCATATTCAAACATAGATCTTCATTTGAATTCATAATACCTTGAAAAGCTTTTCTACGCCAGATCCCCACTTGCATATCACTCTGAAAAATCTTCCTCTTTCAGCATATGGTAAAGATCAGAGAAGTATGTTGAGAAAAGTGACATCTTGGCAGTATGTGTATTTTTTGCATTTATGCCTTCATAACACATTTGCAAGACTGCTGTTGGATGAAATTTCCCACTACATGACAAAACATTTAATTTGAAAATATAGAGTATGAATTTTAAAAGTGGATTTTAAAAAGATATCATCAGTATTATCTATGTATTTGTAATTGAACAAAAAATGTCAGATTCTATCGAATCTTAACTAAAGTGTTGTCTTCTCACCATTCCTATGAATGTTTTAACTTCATATTTGATAACTGAAAATTAAAAGGATCGGGACACATACAGTTTTTTCAAAGCATTTATGTGCTTAACTGCTGTTTACATGCTACATTTTTTTGCAGTGATTGTACTGTGTATTGGATTTGAGAACATACAACACATACACATAAAACTGAACTACAACCTTAAAGCATCTTTATACCCAACATACAGATTAATAAGTTTTCATTAACTACTATCACCTCTGCTTTCACACATAGAAGTTATTTTCCTATTTCATGGGCTTCTTCCACCCCTCCAGATGTTCAAAAACAGGACATGATTTGGGCTCCATTTCTTCAGGATGGGTGCTCAGGACAAGGGAAGCAGCACACTCAAATTATTGGGCACTGACATCAGCCTGGCCCAGGTCACTGTTGCACTCTCCTTGATCCTCACAAAATTTGTTCTCCCTTGGTTCTTGTATTCCTGCTACTTCACTTCCTGCAACATACAATTTACACCATGAATTATTTTTCCCTCAGGATGAATCCCCCAGGATTTTTCACCCCAGGGTTAAATCTTCTTGAGGCACACACTGGGTCTCCCCATCTTCCTGCATTATCCATCAAGTACACCCAGGTCCTTGGGCAAAGACAATCCCACAAATGGGTTTGCCTGTCCCTGTGGGAAAAGAGGATTAGGCACTTAAATATCTTCGAGGATTCCTACCTTGGTGGTTTGACAGAGGTAATTCGGAAAGTTATGGAAAGGCAGGGAAAGAGATTCTTGGAGCTCTGTACCAAAATCATTACAAAGATTCTCTTTCCTCTCTTATTTCCTTGTTTACCTATCCTTATTGGGCTTGTTGCACATTGATGAAGATCAACACTGTTACTCAGATTTCTAAGTGTTCCCTCACCACTTTGTTTTTTGTTTGCAGAATTTCATAGCTGTCATCTAAGAAATTGTGGTATTTCAATGTGATAGAAATACAGGTGCTGTTTCTGTGTGGATTCCGCAGAAACAGTTCCTACATTTTCTTTTCTTTGTCGGAGTCTTATGCACTATGCATTAAGTCAGTGATAGAATTGCTGATGACAGTGTTTGGCAATTTAGTTGAAGAGAAAATCTTTTTTTACAGTGTCTTCACAACTTAAGACACCAAACATTTGCATGGGCGTTAATGTTTGTAAACCTTCTCCCAGATAGGAGTATTTACCTATGGGGATTTGATCTGGAACCAATAAATCACAAGGAAATGATATTCTAGGGAGAGGAAAATAGGATGACAGCACAGTAATTATGTTATTTATTGGTCTAATGCTGGCATTACAGAGGCTAAGATGATATCTAGAGTGCACCTAATCTAGTGTACTATGAAAATGTAGTTAATATTAATTGTATTTGTAGCAGTTACATGAATAAGAACAAAATACATGATGATTTGTTTGGGCCATTTTGCTGCTAGCAGCAAAATCTCATTTTGGCAAAAATCTCAGATGTGGCTCAAAATAGCAGATTGACTCGCTCATTGATGTTGCTTGTGGTCTAAGGTAATGCTGCCACACTAATTTTTTAAGTGTTTGTAGAATATAACAACATCGTTAGTAAGCAATTTTTTATATTGCTAGGAAGTAAGATAGGTTACTCTATAATTGTGTTTTGAAAGACAAAACATGAATTTTGTAGTACAGTATTTTTCAAAAGAATTTCTATTTTTGAGTCTGAGAAAGCTATTCCAAAGTGTTTAGTCTTTCATGACACTCGCAATGTTCTGCTTTTAACTTATTGCGTGAGCTGAAAAGCTATTCACATGCAACTATTTGTCTTTCCAGTTTGCAAAAGCTTCAGGAATTTAGCTATGAAATTTTACCTGTAAGAGCTTTTTAAAATCAGTACTTGATAAAACATTCTAAACAGTATTTAAAAATCAATAAACAGGTCCTTCAAAATCGCTGAAAAAGTATGTTATACATTCTTTTAATGGACATTTTACTGCTGTTAACCAGCAATTTAAAACTGTTTTTCTGAATTTCCTTAGTGCATGAAAACAGTAATGTTATTACTACTATTATTTTTTTTTATTCCTTTCACAGTAAAGAACCAGAAGCTGTGATATGATGATGTTTATCAGTTTTGTTGTATTTAATGGATTCAAAGTGCACTGGCTAATTAGTAAGATTAAATCCAAGACTTGTTTTACTTTTTTATCTGTCCATGACATAATTTAGCAGAATTTCTAAGATAAAAACCCTAGTATTTTAAACTCCTAAACTACTGCAATTAAGAGGTTTCTTACAGTCATGAATTTTTTTCTTTCTGTTAGAAGGGAACCAATATATGTGTCAGAATTCTTTTAAGTTTCTGTTCTGTGATGCTATACTTCTTAAAGGTTTTTTTTTTTTCTATCTTTATCATTAATTTTTCATCAGTATTGACTGGGTTTTCAGACTCTAGGGCAAGTTTTATTCATGTTAGCACTCTAATTAAGCAGAAAGAATTGCTTTTCAAGTATGCTTCAAACATTTGGCTAATAAACTGTATAAACAATGCAAAGTGATATATCCATGTAAGTTATTTGAAAGGTATTTCCATTTTTTAAAGTAATAGTGCTAAAGCACTGATGAATTTTATTAGCTCACAGAAAAAAAAATTACCATTATATCCTCAAAAACAGTTTTTGAGTTATTAAGCATATAAACAACTAATAAAGACATTGCATAACATCAGTCATTTGAGAATTGTTTTCTTGTGGAATTAGTTCTGTTAGGACTGATTTTGTAAATATCCAATGCTTGCCTAGTTTATTCAGTATAAGCTTGTATCACAAAATATGCTGAGTTGGAAGGGACCCACAAGTGTCATTGAGTCCAACTCCTGGCCCTGCCCGGGACCATTCCCAAGTCACATCAACTATGCTAAAAAATAGAGCATTTTTATGTAGTCACCCTCAAAAAAAAACCACTATTGTGATAATTGATAAAATAATTTAATGATTATTCATATGCTGTGAAGAATGTATTCCTGTGGTCAAATTTGGAATATTTGATTTATTAAAACTTGTACCCATTAAAATGACCCTGATGTAAACATCTTAAATGTGAAAGTGTCTTGCATCTGACATTAAGAAATCACTCATGAATGGCTTTGGTTTGAAAGCTGATCAGCTGTTTGAAAACTGGAAAAAGATTGTTGGAGAATGCTCACTGAAATAAAATATAACAATATGATTAACATAAGATGGGTAAGATTCTCATGCTTCTTTTCTCAGTATAATGTGACTTCTGCACATCACTTGTCAGATTGTATATGATAGGGATTAAACTCAACTTGCTTTATGAAAACATTTTGGGTTAAAGAGGAAATAATGACATTTTTTCATGCTATTGTAAAGTGAGTGGAACAATGGTAATCAAAGTTTATAATCTACTAATAAGTAGTAAATTATAAAAATATGTGCTGGCTAAAGTATAATAATTTTTAAATACTTGAAATCTGAAGCAATTACTTCTTTAACATCTTAAATTTCCAACTGCATTCCAAGTCAAACATGTTACAAAATCTTAAGTAATTGTTCAGTTAAAAGGCAATAAATTTCTATTCTCAGCAAGAAAATATCAATTTTTAAGGGATGATTTTAATGGTATTCATAATTATTTGATTTTTTAACAGCTGAGGATGCTTGTGGAGGAACTATGAGAGGATCCAGTGGAATCATCTCGAGCCCCAACTTTCCTAATGAATATCATAATAATGCAGATTGCACATGGACAATTGTGGCAGAGCCTGGTGATACTATCTCGCTCATATTTACAGATTTCCAAATGGAAGAAAAATATGATTATTTGGAAGTAGAAGGTTCTGAACCACCTACAATAGGGTAAGTCAAATGTTGCAGTTTTAATGTGATTAAAAAAAAGAATATGTTGAAATGTGGAAGTACAACTTTTTGTTACTTTTCCTTTTGTCAATAGGTAGTCTTGCTGCTAACAAAACAAAACAAAAAAAAGCACTAATGATTGTTATGATGGCATAATTGTTGATATTACAATTTCAGCTGTAAAATGATTTTCAAATATAGTCCAATTATTTACAATCAAGATGAAAGGCACTGTAGACTCATTCACCTCATAGATCTAACTGTTCTAACCGTTATTGTATTTAAAATGTACGTATTTAGAAATAGAATGGAATGGACTGTTGTCCCGGTAAGGATTGGTGAAACCTACAGAGAGTTTCATAATGTCAGAAAGTGAATTGCACTGAGGCCTTTTCAGCACAGAGCTGGGGGGATTTAACACTGTCCACACCTGCTGGTCACAGATTCTTTCTGGAGGAGTTTCTGTACAGAGAACTGTACACAGCACTAAATAATTTGTCCTGAGTGTAGTTGGTGATGCACTTACTTAGAAATTTCCGTCCTGATAAATCCTTTCCATCCTTTCCATCCACATAGTCTCATTACCTTTTGGGTTTGGTTTTACTCCAAATGTACTACCTTTAAGGAGTATTTATATTAAAACTGTTTGTTTGTTGACTTAGTAATAATAAATTTTTTTGCTATTCTAATTTCTGCTATTCTTAATCTTAGTGTAGGTGCATTATGTAGATGTTGTAAATCAAGTCCAAAAAATAAAATAGTAGTAAAATATCCACTTTCACTATCAAATTCATTTAATTAGAAAAAAAAAATTATACATTTTTTGGTTTTCTGGTGTGGTAGTTTTGTGGCAACACAGCACCACACTACTCAAGAAACATGTCAATATGACAAATCCTTGTGTTTGTTTTATTGGTTTAAATATGCTATTGATTCACAAAAAAGAGGATATATTCAAACCCATAAGTAAGAGTTACGGTCTCTAGTAAAATCTTAAGCTCTTAACTGACTCCTAAAGCATTAAGGGGGTTCTGCACCACAGACAGGCATATGAACAAAAGGTGATGCAACAAGTGGTGCTCTAGACACATTAAAGTTAGTAGAGTCGTGTTTTTTTAATATTGATATTAACCCCTCGCCAAACATAGCATAGACCAAATAAACAAAATTATTTTTGTTTTTATCACCAGAAAATATCACAGATTAGATAATGACATTGTTTCGAAAGCATCGGTCTTGGTTTCTATAAGTGATGCTTATGAGTAAGATATTTTTTACTACTTTAGGGTGCAGTAGAAATCTATACACTAATTCCAAGCTTTAGCAAATAGTGTTTTACAATTTGATTTAATTCATACTGCCACCTACATAGTTAATTATCTGTATTGGAATATTACTTAATTGCCATTGAGTTTTTCTAGCTCTTAAACTGAAATCTTTTGAACTAGCTGTCAGGCAAAATAATTTTAAAAAATTAATTTGTAATAATTAGTGAGGTATCACCAATGACATACAGATATTATTAATCACTTGAATAGCTAAATATGCGTTTGATTTTTCTTGAATATGTTTTATGTATTCAGTCATGAGCTTCAAACAATGAATTCATTTTTTGTTCTGCAAAAGGCTTTGGCCATATTCAAATGATATAATAAGATTATTTTATATATGGAAATTCCCATTATCTATTTACAAAACATAAAAATTTACAATGCTAATTTAATAATTGCTCATGTAGAGAAGCAGACTGGAAGCATATTCTTTTTTTAGCCTGTCATTTATATTCCCTAAATTAGATTGATGTGTTCAATTATGGAAAAGTATCCCCCCATATGTTAGGAAAAACAGATTTGGAAAGCTTAATTAACAACAATTTGTTAATTAGATTTAGAATGGTAATACTTTGTATCCCCTTAGACTATAGCTCAGCTAAACCCAGGCTCTTTATCTTTAATTCTGAGGGAAAAAAATACATAATTTATAAAATTATTAAAAACTTACCAGCTGATCTGGATAATAAGTATTATTATAAAATATATGGAAACTTTGGTTCTTTACATGAATATTACACCTACTGATTTAAAAAAAAAAAAGCCTCAAACTTTTCTTCTTCTGCCCATCTGCTGTGTAACAAAATATCTCTACTTTTTGGTTCGAAGTAAAACAATGAGCCAGAATATACATCAAGTAGATAGGTTGATGTGATCCATGAGACAAGACTTGAAATTCTATATCAAATTTTAATTTTCCATAGTCTTCCAATCAGTTTTTACAATATTTCAGATATACTAAGTCTTTTCTGTAAGAAAATCTTGGTTGGCCATTTTCATTTAAGTAGTGGGAAAATCATTTTCCCCATTTTTTCTCAACAACAACAACAAAAATTAAATAAGATCTAGTGAAATGTTCCATTTTGCCTAAGTGAAAAGTTGGGTTTGAAACATTAATTGGTGAAAGAAATAACAATGTCATTATGGGATATCCAGCATATGGAAGTTCAGAGTTAAATCTTTCAAGAATATCTGAACATGTAAGAATTTCCAGTGCTTGCCTCTGGGATATTCTGGTTGGAATGTTTCACGTTGTTTTCACTTCTTTTGCTGTTGGTCACTTTTAGTAGAATATCAACTAATCACTGAGCATGAAACTAGAATGATTCTCTATCCTACTTTGACATAGGTAACCTGGATTCCATTATGTACTCTAGTTTGAAATATTAATACAATTGTTAAAACACTAGTTAAATAGTATAGATGAAGTGCTAGAACCTCCTTCCCAGAACAGCCTTTGACTGCTTAGAGCACTCTCCAGATAAGAGCAGTGAGGAGATGGACAATATATTTCAGACCTCCCTAGGCAAAGACATTACCTCTGTATCTTCTGTTCTCCATTACCACCTTAAATTAGCTCTTGTTGCAAAAGAAGTTGACAATTTTCCTTCCTACATATTTGGAGAGCTTGGTTATGATAGAAAAATCCCAAACAAACAAACAAACCTAAACCAAAACAAAATCCAGCAAAGGTATTAGATTACTTGAATTTGATATGTTAATAAGTTTTGAATTAACCTATATATTTTTGGTGGACAGACTGCAAAGTGATAGAAAATAATGGTTGTCATAAAATATGTTCTCAGAGCCTTTACTCAGAGAACTAGAGATGTAGTCTGAATAAAGATCACATTTTCTTCACAAGGAACACATTATGCAAAATTTTTATTGTTTATATGTGCCTTAATGAGAAAGTGTTTTGAGAGTGGAACAGTGTCTCAAATGTTGTTGGGAAAATGTACTTGTAGCATGACAAAACAAAAAGTCCTAAGATTTTAGCCATGCTCTTTCTGGGAAAGAGTAGAGTTCTAAAAAAAACTTTGTGCAGTGTTCTAATAATTGACCTGCTGTCAAGTTCATACAAGGTAGTAGGGCACCTAAAGTACCCATTATCACACATGAATTTGCAGTGTGATGTGATTATTTTTCTTAAAGCAAAATACCTCACTTCTTTCTTACCGATACTATATTCTTGGGTATTTAAAAGTATTTCCTATTATATTTTCCTAAAATGTAAGGGAAAACATAGAATTTCCCATAATAAATTGAAGTGTTGTCTAGACCGTCTATTTCTGATTTTAGCCAAGTTATAATTTTTTCATATATAAATCTGCTGCAGACACCACAGCAGGGATTTCCCTGCAGCACATGTTGCAGAACATGGTGAAGCAGGCTGTCTCCCTGCAGCCCCTGGAGGTTCATGGTAGAGCAGATACCCACCTGCTGCTTGCAAAAGACCCAGTGCTGGAGCAGGTGTTGATGCTCAGAGGAGGCTGGGAAGCCCAAAGGCTTCTGACAGGAACTGTGGCCCCATGCATGACTCATTCTGGAGCAGTCTGTTCCTGAAGGACTGTGCCCTGGGGAAGGGACTCATGCTGGACCAGATTATTACAAACTTCAGTCCATGGGAAAGACTCACTTTGGAGAAGTTGGGGAGGATCATGCTGGAGCAAGGGAAGAGTGTGAGGAGTACTCCCCCTGAGAAGAAAAGAGTGGCAGATACAATGTGTGATGAACTGACATCAGTCCCCATTCCCTGTCTTACTCTGCTGCTTCTTATTATTCCTACTCTGATATAATTAATATAAAATTAATTTAATTTCCCCAAGTCACGTCTGTTTTGCCTATGATGGAAACTGGTGAGTGATCTCTCCCTGTCCATATCTCAACCATGAGCCTTTTATTATGCTTTCTCTCCCTTGTCCAGCTGAGAAGGGGAATGATAGAAAAGCTTTGGTGGATAGCTGGTGTCCAGCCTGGGTCAACCCACCACAGTAAAATACCTGATGAACTTTTCAGTGGACATGATAGGTTTCCATTCATGTTTTTTATATTGTGGACTGAATTTGTTTACTGTTCTTTGTAGGACAGCTGGGGAAAATTTAATGACCATACTTTATTCATTACAAATTTACAGCAATCATAATTTCCCTGTAAGGTTTTGTGAAGCCATTTCTCATTTAAAAAAAAAAAAAAAAAGTGCATAATTCATGAAGGTTGGAAGCTCAAATAAAAAAAAAACATGAGAAAACATTTAGTTCTAAATGAATAGTATCAATATACTGATTGGCCAGTAGCTTTAAACATACTGTTCATGAATGTCACAGTAGATTCTCTTTTTTGTTTTGTATATTTTAATTTCAAGTGTTGTCATAATATTGTGCTTATTGGCTATTTTTTCCAATCCAAGCTTAAAAACTCTGTTAACAAAGTTTTAAAATATTAGTAATATGTTTAGGAAGGGCTTGGACAAATAATATACAGTCTTTTATAGAGAAATAGTATGCTTAAATAAATATTCATATAAAATAAGCTTTACATTATATAAACTCAAGGTTTATATTTGCCTCTAAGTTATATAAATTTCACAGAGAAAAAAATAATTTTATGAACTTTTGGTGATGATGTAGTATGGTATTGCAGTAGCATGTGAACATTATTGAGAAAAGC